TGATGGTTTGAAATAGTTTTTGCTCCTATTTATATAATTATCTGGCAACGCTTGATCCTGGTTGATGTGGGCGTAGAAATACACTATTTCAACAATAACCATTTTGGTGACTTGATAAGTAAATAATTACTTATCACCTCTATTGGTTGATGAGTTGAGGGGGCTATCTTTTGTCTCCATTGTCATGTCTCTTAAAAAAAAAACATTGAATGAATTGGAAGCTTTTTGAATAAATTTGTGTAACTCCACCTTATTGAGTTGATTCTTATTGTCACCCTCGATCAATGAAGTAAATTAACCGTGCTGGAGAGGATAAAGATTTATATCCTCGCTTGCTTCATATAATAAAAATTTCTTGAGTAGATGCCGGTTAACGTTTAATATGCGTGGCACTTGTAAGCTCACGCTTGTGATATGGATTGATTTACAAATTCTATTGAGCTTAATATATTTCAGGCCCGATGTGCGCCTCTTTTTTTGGGGGAGTCCTTTTTGCAGACTGCGCCATTGGCGACTTGATTGTTTTCTATCTCGTTTCTTAGACTAAACACCTGATATATGAGGGTTTTTAAGGTAATAGAGAAATTATGCTATTGCAGAACTGTGTAAAACACTCACGGTTTGCGTGCTATGGTGGCTACTTTTGGAAAGGTTTGGAGCTTATTTGAATAAACTGTTGATGAACTAACCAGCAGGTAATCGAGACTGGTCTCAGGAATTAAGAAAATGACACTTTTAGTGCATCAGTCACAATCATCCTAAGGAACAGTGAAAACAATTTCACCGTGAACCACTCGGACAGCAGTATTTGACCTTGCATTTGACCTCAGCGGGGGAGAAAATGACATTTTCAAGCATGTTACGTGTTGGTTATTCTAAACAAAGGCATAGTCTTTAACAAAAGTAACAATTCCAATGTCATGGCAAGCCACTCTGTCAGCCGTTATCATGCTCATTTTAGAACTCAGGACAGAGAAGAAGGAAATAGAACAATGTGCTTTTTGTTTGTTGCTTTTAGAAAATTTTGTGTCATTAGAATAAAAGGTGGATGAACACCAGCAGCAGAGAATTTGAGATTGATCTCAAGGAGTAAGAAAATGATGTTTTTGGGTAATGCAGGGTTGTCACTAAGATTTCAAGTTGCCGGGTATTTGTTGTTAGTAGCCGGGGAAGTCGCAAGCAGTCCTAGAGACCCCCCCCCCCTCCCCTACAAGAAGTTTTTGCAGCGCAACTTCTACCGTTTTCTAAAACGCATTACCGCCCCAAAAATGCAATCTTCATCAAGAGTACAGCTATCATTAGCGGTTTTATGATGATCACGTCTTTATTAAAGAAAACAACATCATTCGGAGACCCTAAAATAATAAGTTTTTACTTTACGTAAAGGCTCGTTGGAGAGTTTTTTTAGTGGCCGCCAAATGGGAGTATACATGTAAGCACCGGGTCTGAAATAGATTACAGGTAGGCACCGGTCGCGTTATCCGCGCAGTCTTATCTTCACGCAGACAAGGCGCATGCTGGCCAGTGAAGTGTTAAATCACAACGATACTTTACAAATGTTAAAAATGTAGAAAGGACAATCGATTCTTATATGGTGCAAATGAATTAACATGCGTTTTAAAATGAATTGTAAATCCTCATTTAGTTATACGTAAGAACGAAACAAGTTACAGAAAACAAAAGTAAAACTAATATTACAAATGAATTAACTCACGGAGAAGCGGAAAGACGACAAGCGGACGATGAATGTACGAAAAAGCATCATAAACACAAGGTTACTATGGTTTGTTGAAAAATAAAAGTATGATAACGCTAAAACAAGCGTAACGTACGAAAAATCGCGGGATAAAATATGCCAAAACTAAACTGCATAACTGGTAACATTAGTGGTCTCGAATTTAGGAACGAAACATCACTTAACATACGAAGAAACTGACATACGGAAAAGCATTTAAAAGAGAGGGCTAATACTTTATAAACGACGCTGTGATGTCAAAACGAGACTCAGGGAGAAGAATGCAAAAGTAATGCTAATGCTTAACTTCCCTTTTAAATATAACTTCTTGGAAGTAGAACTGAGAGGATGTGATCATGACCTGCGGACAATGATCTAACATTTCCCGTTGACCGTGCGTTATTTTATATACTCGATACCTCACAAAGCTAAATATAGACCTGGTCACTTAAACGTCAATTTATTAAACATAGCAATCAGTCATAGTGTTCATCTTCAAAGCCTTCATCATAATCCTCATTATCATCAACATCAGCATCAGGGACATTTAACGCTCGGATGAAGCCTCAACTTCTTCTGTGATGTCAACAGAGATCTGCTCAGGTCTTTCATCGTGAACAAATAGTGCAGATTCCTTTGCCACTTCTTCGACATGTTCAGCACAAAGCCGACACAACGGTTGAAACTAGGGACTTTTAGCATCGACAAAGGTGACGGCAGCGAAAAGGTCGCTTTTAAAATGAATTGGCGTTTTTTCCAACTTTGTCTCGTTTATTTCAGTTCGTTGAAAATAGCTAATGTAGGCCAATTTCCCTGGAGTTGATTTCTTTGGGACTGCACTCAAGTTTAGAAAGAGAAAGAAAAGTTTGTCTTCGATTGTTTACGTCCTCCATAAAACGTGAAACTAGGGGTGCGTTTGATTGAGAAATCTGGATTTAGAGTTTAAAATCCGGATTTCGGATTTGCAATCGAACGCGAACTCCGAAAACGGATTTCAACGCTAAGATATCTGTTTTTGGATTTTCATTTTTACCGTTCGATTGGGAAATCCGAAAAAGGATTTGAACAACTGTCGTTAAGAACAGCGGTCTTGCACGCGCACGCATAATTAGGAAAAATAAGACAGCTGTTCACGAGAACAGTTTTGCAAATCCGTTTTCGGATTTCCCAATCGAACGGTAAAAAGGAAATCCATGAAATCCGGATTTGGATTTCTTAATTGAAATCCACCCTGAGGACGGATTTCTCGGAGGTGAAATCCGTTTTCGGATTTCGCGTTCGATTGGGAAATCCGGATTTAGATTTTGAAAATCTAAATCCGGATTTCCCGATCGAATGCACCCTAGGCATTTTCGCGTCGTAGTCGTGCAGTAACGGCAAAGAAATGTACAAAAAAGCGTGATGCACGTGCGAACTAGTTGTTTTGCTCAATAAACCTATTGCTTTTTTGACGTTCTCGTTGCCGTCGCCGTCGTCGTTGCTAAAACTCCCTACTGACATTTCGCGAACAGAGAGTTTTCGCGCGTGTGTACTAGTACCAAATCTAAGGCAGATGTCTTTTTCCGACATTTCTTAGTTTTTGCACGCGAGTATTTCAAAATTACTTGAACCTGCTGCACATGAAACTTTCATTTAGTTTGATGGATAGTCTTTGTGTGTTTCAAAGGTGTGCTCTTTTGGTTTAATTTAATGACGAAAGTAGCCGGGGGCCATGCTCTGAGTAGCCGGGGGAAATCCCCGGCCCCCGGCCCTTAGTGACAACCCTGGTAATGTGTGCATGTAACAAAAACAGTAATCAATCAATTTTATTGGTACATCCAATTAAAATGGGTTTTCACATACCAATTACAATGAAATCTAATATCAACAATAGAAATGTAAAATAAATATTTGAAAGTGATAAAACATTACCATATTATTTAAAAAAATATAAAATATGCATAATTACACCTACTGAGTGTCAATGGCTTAAAAACTCGTCAAGTGCAGTCCTTTAATCGCATTCTTAAAAACATTAAATGACTCTATGTAAAAGAAGTAAGAGATTTGTTGCCAAACCAACTTAACTACAGTAAAATAGGACAGTGTGAAACAGTCCCTTAAATGCAAGAGGCATGTGCATTTAAATTGCACAATACATTTCTAGTCAGTGTACTTTTTAACACACACGGAAGGGGAACTATCATCAACCCATGCTATGGTGGTTGCTACTGGAAGGGTTTGGAGCTTGTTTGAATAAACTGTTGATGAACTAACCAGCAGGTGATTGAGATTGATCTCAGGGATTAAGAAAATGACACTTTTGGAGCATTAGTCACAATCATCCTAAGGAACAATGAAAACAATGTCACCATGAACTAGCCTTCCTGCAGACGTTCTTTGAGGCTCGTTCGTCCCGCAATGATTTCTCCCCCACGTACGTCTGCTAAACAGCCAACATTTCATTCACTAATCACAAACTGTTTACGGATTTTTGTAAAATGCAACCTGAGCCGCTCTTTAAGATTTGTATGATCAGTGAGGCTTTGGATCGGGTGTGCGACACAGTGCATGGAACTTCTGGACATTATTGTTGTTGTTGTTTCGCCCTTGGTAAATCTTATGAAAGATCAAGCTACAAAGCTGGAAAATATTGGTATTCCTGCTGTAACACTCAGTGATATTAGCGAAGAGAATATAAGGGTTGTCGAGAGAGGGGCTTTCTCTGTTGTTTATGGAAGCCCAGAAGCTTGATGAAGATCCATCGGTGGATGAAATGTTAGCGAGTGACTTGTACAGTTAGTATGTGGCCCGTGGTCCGCGACTTTTCCGAGCATGATTAAATATTTCGTTGAGAAATAAAATATGATGAACAATGAAAGGTTTAATGATTTAGTGATTATAAGCAGTCTTTCTTTCTTTGAAGGAGTGAGATTAAAGTTTGTTGACAGGTAGGTTTGACCTCATCGAGTAAGAAAATGACGTTTTCAAGCATGTTCGGTGTTGGTTATTCTAGACAAAGGCATTGTCCTTAGCAACAGTAACAATGGCAATGTCATGGCAAGCCGCTCTGTCCGCGGTTATCATGCTCATTTTAGAATTCAGGACAGAGAAAAAGGGAAATGAAACAATGGCCTTCTTGTCGTGTGTTTTGGTAGTTGCTTTTGGAAAGTTTTGTCTGTCCTTGGAATAAAAGGTGGGTGAACGTGAGCAGCAGGGGATTATCCCTCATGGAACTGTAGTTAAGTGTCTGCTTGGTCTTGAAGTTGAGGAAAAAGCCACTCACCTTACATTCGGTCTTTCCACCACGGGTCAGATAGCCACAATTCTTTGCTCCACTGCTCGCAAACTTTATGACTGGACCTTCGTCTGTCTCATCTGTAAACTGGCCAAGGAAGTTGCTCAAGGGATCTCCAACTGACCTGGGCGCCAGCGATACACCACATAGTCTATCATAATACAGCACACGTTCCTGCTAGGTCTCCAGGGCTTCATAGAGGTTTAATCGAGCATGGGCTGTGGTGAAGACCGCCATGAACGCATTGGTTTTGAAGCTTTTCTGATATTCTTCTTTGGCTTGGGTGGTCATAAGCTCCTTCACATCTTCAGTACAGATGTGAACGGTTTGGATGTCGTAGGCTGGTTCGTTTAGCAGATAAAGCAGTTGATGGCCCATGTGAATCATGTGGGTCTGGGGCTTGTGTTATCTTTCCCCAAATTGTCCCCAAAAGCTGTAAAAAATAATAATATAAAACATGGTTCAAACGACCAACATCGCAAAAAAAATTTAATTTTTTTTTGGAACGTTTTTGTTTTCTCAGAGGTCCGCCCAATTATAAATTTCTCAAGCAATATTGAACATTTTAGTATATCAAATGTTAATAGTTACCAATGTTCCTGTAAACAGTGCTACCCTATAGCAGTTTGCAATGTGTTACTCTCTTATTAATCCTTGTGGATCTGAGATAAATTTTACTCTCCGGGCTGTAACCACTTATGTCCTATGTTACAATATGGCTTCAAGCATGTCTGCATAATTTGAAGATGTGCATATTTTCAAACATTGTCATGAAATGATGCTATTTTTGTTGTGGATTGGGACATCAGCTGTGTGGTTCAGCAAACAAGTGGAGTAAAGGATGTAATCTTCTCTGGTAAGACATGGTGACAGTTTTTAGCTGCCATAAGGCATGTTCAAAGTATCATGCCTGTAGTACGACCACGCCCAAATATACGCTCCCACAACGTCTTGTTTTAAGCTGCAACTGATTTGGAAGATATCCTACTATCAATTCCTGAGCGTTGTGCACTGAGTGGTAGTCCTGGGTATCATCCTAATGAGATCACAAACAGGTGCTCCCTGACAATATGTGGATCATTTTCTGTGCTTGTCGTGCCATCAATGGATTCTACTGCTTGGTGATAAAGGATGGTGCTGTGGAAAGAAACATTCACATCAAAGTACTCTGACTGTAGCTCATCCTGCTGGTGGCATCTGTAGCCTTCAGAGTAATCATAACAGACAACCAGACAACCTCACTGAGAGGAAGGTGCTCAAGGACGTTGTCCATTTGTTCCCTCAACCATCTAGCCATGAATGAGTGGTAGTGGTCTTGTCTTAGGAGGTCCTGGAAGTACTACCTTGTGGCTGTCTTCTTGTCACCCGAGTGGTTTTTTATTTTTCTGTCTTTTGGCAGAAATTTTCCAGTCCCCACATATTCATAGCACTTCCTTGTCACTTCCTCTGTATATTCGTCTGAAATTTCATGAGAGGGAGTTCAATTTTGCTTTCACCACCTTCACTGCATTCTCTGTTTAAGCATTTCAGCTGGTGATAGCTGTGCCCTTGAGGCTTGTCACCAAACCTTAAGGTTGACTGCTTCAGTTAGGGTTTGAGGAAGCACTAAATCGGTTCCATACCTCCGGGACACTGCCTTTCTAAATTTCTTACAGTCCTTAAAGACTGGAAATTTTCCTCAAATTTGCAGTACTTGGTCTTTGCTTCCTGATATTGTGCCTGGAACTTTACAAATGCCTCTGTTTGTATTTTTTCCAGCACGTGCTTCGCATGTTCAATGTGCTGCTTCTTTTTGGTTCTTTTTTTGATTACATCTTTTTTGTCTCCTGTTGGCCTGCTTCCTTCATATGACCAGAAGTTGGTTGAAAATGAATTGTTCTGTTCAGTACTAATGGAGTCGCCTCTAGTTTTCCTCTCTTTTTCTCTTGTGAAAAAAGTTTTGCCCTCTTTTTAATTCGTTAACTCATGCTCTTATGCCCTACATTTACTAGCTTTACAAGAGACTTTCATGCTTAGCATGTAGAAACATTGTGGCCAAATGTAAGACTTTTGAAAGCTGAATAGGTAGCTTTATCATCTTTAGAGTTGCTTATCTTAACCTTCCGCAAGCCTTCTGAAATATCAGCTGCAAGTGCTTGGAGTGATGTTGTTTTCTGTTTCTTCAGGAGTTTTAATGAATCCCTTTTCTCAAAACCGCTTCATTCTTTCCCCTGTCAGGTATGTGTTTAAATTAGAATATGTTGAAAAGCCATTTAATCGAAACATCAGTAAAGGCTCTGATGTCTAGTAAGGTTGATAGGGATAACCCTAGCCGTTGGTGGAACCTTCCAACAACAAAGCAGTTGATGGTTTGCAGTCATTTTTTCTCTTATGCTGCAGTGCCAGTAATTTGTAAAAACAATGCGTGGGCAGAGACGATTGATGGACTGTCAACAATAACCTACCTTAAAGTACCTTGCAAGGTGGTTCATCACCAAAATCAGGCAGCCTCATTTAATTACAGATGTGTTCATCCTCCCATCTTTTCAGGGCTTGGGCGGAACTTGTGGAGGGTGTTGGAATGGGCTGCGAATTTGCCTGCATTGACTCTCAAAGCCGTGAGCACTAGGGTTATACACTTGTGGGAGAAAAACTTACGTTACTTACGTTTAATGAAGAAGGACTAAAGTTGTTCATGCCAAATTATCTTAAACCTTACAAATGGACATATTTGAATGAAGTAGTTGAAAGATCAAATAATACACAGCAACAGACAGGTCATTTTAGAATTACAAATGCAATATCAAAACCACGTCATGTTTTTGTTTTTGGAATTGATACAGCAAGAATCGATGCACAAACAGCAAATCCATTTTTATACGATACTTTTAATCTACCAAATAATGCTAATATATCAAGATGTTACCTGGAAGTTGCAAATGGAAACGAATACCCAGATATTCTCTTTAAACCTTCTACAGATATGTCAAGAGTTTTTAGAAATGTAATGTCATACGTCTATGCAAATAATGATTATCAAGGTGGAACATTACTTAATAGAACTAATTTCAAAACTTTATTTCCTTTTGTTTATTTTGACCTAACAAAACAAAAAATGGATATCAAAGATGGAGTTACAAAACTAGCATTTCATTACGAATTAACTGCTAATCCAAACGCTGATTATAATATTTACGCATTAGTCTTACATGAAAGAATAGCAGAAATATCACAACAAGATGGAAAACTATTGCTTAGAGCTTAAACTAAATTATATATCCACCAAGTAATATTAAAAAAGTTCAAATACATAAGCGAATTAAATAAAAAAGTTAAAAATCGAATACTTAATATAATGTTAATGGTAAAACATCAAAATAGTACCAAGAGTTAAATTGTTCATTCCATTTCTTGAGATGAACCTTCCTCTAAAGCAGGAACAGGAGCAGCTTTCATCTGCTGAAGACGTTTCGTTTTCTTTCGTTTCTTTTTTTTCTGATCCATATTGAACTGTTTCATTTTAATTTCTTTTTCCTTCGCGCATTTTTCAATGTGAACTTCATATTTTCTTCGTCTTTTTTCTTCATTGGCCGCTTGCCGCGCAATTTCCAACACTCTTGGTAATTGTGGAAAAAGCGATAAAAATGCATTGATATCTTCTTTAGACATATCAACGAGGCCAGTGAAAAATCCACTAGAATTAAACTGCAAATTTCTCAGATTTACACCACCAATACCAAAGGCTGTCGCTTTCAATTCCTCAATTTTCTTGATACATCCATCCCTGCGATTTTCCAACGATTTTAAAGAGGGAGGCATAATCAAAATTGTATACGATCTGTTCAATTTAATATAACTATTATAATAAAAAAATGACTACTTATATAGAATACGGAGTAAAACTTACAGATGGACAGAAGTCAAAACTGGCTTCCGCAATAATAAATCAATCGCCACTAACTCATCGGTTAAAACATTCTCATCTTCAAGGTTCTGATGAGTTAATGTTAACAAAAAGACAAATTGATAAAAAAAAAAAATCTATTGCAAATGGCACAGGAACAGATATAAAGATAAGTAAAACTCAAATTAGAAAATCTGTAAAACATGGTGGAAACTTATTTTCATCACTCGCATCTCTTGGAGCAAAAGTTCTTCCTTTCGCAATAAAAGGAATTTCAAAAGCCGTTCCTGCATTAGCAACTGGCGCTGCTACTGCACTTGGAGAACTTGGAATAAATAAAATATTTGGAAGTGGGCGAACCTACGGTTCCCCCTACACCCCCCTCCCTTTACAAGAAATAATAATTCCAAAAAAGTTTATTCCAATGTTACCACCTTTTAAAAAAGAATTTACCAAATCACAAATAGACAAAATTAACAAATCTTATCAAACAGGAGGAAAATTAGTTATAAAACCAACTCGTAAACAGATAGAAGGAGGATTTTTAGGTACTCTTGCTTCTATTGGTATTCCAATGGCAATTAGTTTGGTATCTAAGATGTTTGGTGGGGGACTTCAGGTTGATAGACGAGGGTTATCTAATACAGCAAATGTTTACGTTCCACCCACACATGGAGAAGGTTATCCGTATCGCTCTCCACCTTTTATTGGTACATGGGAAAACCCTATAGGAATGGGAGTTAAAAAAAAAAGTCCAAAGGAAAGGGTTTACTATTAGGAAAAAACAGCCCATTCAACTCAATTCCCATTCTCGGCTCCATTTTGTAATTAAACCTCTATCCAACTTTGACCTCATGGAATGCGTAAAAAGACTTGGTATTAAACATTTCAGAGGAATATATAGTCGTGATGGCCTACCAAGCAAAATCAAAAAAGAATGTGGAATAATTAATCTGGATGATATAACAGGGCCTGGAACACACTGGGTTTGTTATAGAAATATAACCAATGTAGTTGAGTACTTCGATCCATTGGGGCTGATAATGCCAAATGAAGTATTAGAGTATTTTCATACGGGATCTGTAAAACCTATTGTGTGCTCAATAGATGAAATACAAAATCGCAATACTGTTCTCTGTGGATATGGTGGTAGTGTGGATATGGTGTTTGGCGTCCTGTGTATTGAAACCTCTATCGCAAAGAGGACGATAATACGATCGATTCATAAGGCCAGGAATACTTCTGAGTCCATCAAAATGTCCTTGATGTTTACAAGACCAATGAAATGAGGGGCTTGATTATACTGTGCTTTGAAAACGATTAAACATTTTGAAAGTTCAACCACGATGAGCTGGTAGCCCTGTGGTCCGAGTTAATCTTGGAATTTTTGCAGTTCCTCGAATCTGCAGGGGCCTTCGGGAACACCCGCTTCTTGATGGAGGAGACAGGCCCAACGTTCTTGAATCGGTCTTCTACATCTCAGATTTTGGTAATGGGACCCCTTAACCACTCTTTCTTTCATGGTGATGATTGCTCTTACGCAACACAAGTCGTCTTTGTTTGGGATTCTTATGATACATTTCTTTTTCTTTGCGATTTTTTCCCAGGCAATTCGTTCAGGGTTGTTACGTTCAAAAGCTCCACCACGCCCCAGCCTTTTCACAAATGTGGGTTCCGCAAAGAAACCATCTCTTTCTGGATCCACGACTTCCGCGCTAAATCTTCTAAAAAGGCGTGTTCGTACTCTTGATTACTAAGCCACTCGTTTAAAGGTACATGACGGGCAGATTGACTCCAGACATGAGTAAATCCCAATAGGGCGAGGTGGTTATCCCTTAAGTCTCGTTCATGTTAGTTTGCCACGCTTCAAGACAGTTCGCTACAGTTGAATTTTCCCACTAGTCTTTGTAACAGCCAATGGGGCGAGGTGGTTATCCCTTAAGTCTCGTCTATTTTAGCGCGCCACCCTTCTAGACAGTTCGCTACCGTTGAATTTTCCCACTAGTCTTTCTAACAGCCAATGGGGCGACGTCGTTATTATAACTCTTGTTACAAGGAATTACTTATACGTTCAATTTGACTGTCCAAGGCGTGATTTTCCATTCTCTCGTTCACAAGTCTTGCTCTTCATAAGTACTGTACAATTGCTCGAGCTGAATGAACAGCTATCGCTCACTGTGCTAAATTTATGTCCACAGGAGCTTCGACCCTTGAGCAGAATTTGCACACAAACTCAACCAAGCATAGGCGATTGATGTCAATCTCACTTCATTTCGCTGAGCTAGCCAAGTTGTATGACGCATTTGTTTATTGTCAGGAATGTGA